ATATTAATATATTATTATTATTATTAATTTATTATATATTATAATTTATAAAATTTAATGTTTTAAAAAATAATAATTTTTTATATATATAATTATTTTATATTATTTTATATTTCAAACAATAACGATTCGAACACAAACGAACGCATCACTGTTCGTGTTTGGTTCGTTTAACTAACCGAACGAAAAAAATTTGTTCGTGTTTGTCTCGTTTACTTATCGAACGAATCGAACACGAACTCATTGACGAATCGAACAAGAACTGTTCGCGAACAACGAGCTTTTTTGACAGCCCTAAGCTAGCGTGCATGATACAAACGTGCTACTAATTTTAACATCCCAAGTTAGTTGCTATCTCTAGGAAATTAGACAATCTAGGATTGAATTTTGCACCCGGATTACCAATTATAGAGGAGAACACTTATGGACAACAAGTTGATTCTAGTGCTGTGCCAACATAATTTATGAATGACATCAACAATGGGTTCAACCCATATTCAACATCTACAACTCAGGCTAGAAGAATCACCTTAACCTTAATTGGAATAATAATAACCAATGTGTAAGAACCTAGCAGTGAGGGAACAATCAACCCCAACTCTGCGGGTCATTGGAATAATCAAGGTAGTGACAACCCAAAACATATCTACGCTCCTACTCACTTATAATCCCTATTTTAGGGAGAAGAAATTTTCATTGGAAGTAGTACTAAACATGGGGAATCATATTCGAAGTCATGCTGTAACCATAAAGAATATTGAAACACAAATTGAACAAATAACAAACTAATTGAGTCAGAGACCCTAATGGATGTTACCTAGCAATATAGAGGTAAATCCTAAGGACCATAATGTCGATCGCTACAATGCTAAGGAGTTGGGAGTGGGAAGGTGCTCGAGAGACCTAAAGTGGAAAAGCCTAGAGTAGAGGAGCTCGAGTTTGTGCCCGATCGATATGTATAAGAACTTACCCCAGACTTAGGAAAAACACCCGATTGCTAAACATAGAACAATAAAGACAACCACCACATTTTCCTCAAAGGTTAATTGGATTGGTAATTTTCTAAGTTTTAAGATATATTCATGAAGCTTACTATTGACATTCCATTTGCAATCACTTGAACAAATGTCTAGTTACGTGTGATTTATGAATAAGAAATACAAATTTTCTAATTTTAAAATTTTGGCATTAATTGAAAATTTTAGTTCTATAATTCAAAGAAAAATCCTAAAATTAAATGATCTGGGTAGTTTTTTTATTCTTTGCACTATCAAAAATCATTTTATTAGAAAAAAATTATGTGACTCAGGAGTTAGCATAAACCTAATGTCTTTTTTAGTGTTTGAAAGACTAGGTTTAGGAAAACTTCAGCTCACCACAGTGACACTTTAATTAACTGACCGTTAACTCTTTTAAAGGGGGTTATAGAAGATATCCTAGCGAAAGTAAAAAAATTATCTTTCTTGATATGAATGAAGATACTAAGATCCCTATTATTTTTAGCAGATCTTTTCTTGCAATTGGCAGAGCTAATATTGACTTACAAAAATGGGAGAGCGCAAATTGATGAAGTGACTTTTTCGATTCATGATCTTATATCAACCCCTAATTATATTCCTGATCAATGTTTGAGATTGAAAATAAAATGATTGCAAGAAATTTTAAATGAGAAGTCAGAAAGAAAATATTTAATATTTCAAAAAGCAGAAATGGGATCGCAACAAAATACGATTGGAGAATCTCTGGGATAATTATAATATTGGGTAAGAGATTGAGTATTATTAAACTGGATATTTGATCTTAGAGAAAAATCTTAGGACTTGATTTGACATTCTCTGACTAAGGACTTAAAACTTTACGTTACTTGGGAGGCAGTGCAAACATTATCTTATTGGGAAATTGCACGTTTTACTTTATTTTCTTTATGCATGTTTGTGATTGGATAAGATTGAGAATATTAAACTAAACGCTTATTGTGAGACAACCCAATTTTTTTTTAATTATTTTGTGCGTGTTTGTGCATGCTTTGCTTGTTATTTCTCTAGAGCCACTTACTTCTTACTTATGTCTAGGAGCACAATAATTATGGGGACAAATACACCTGACTTGCCTGTTATATTGACTTTAACCTTGCTACATGTTATTATATAATGAGTATGATTTAGACCTGTT